ACATCTATTGCACGTCTGTCCGTCCTGGAAGAGGGATCCCTCCTCAGTTGCTCTTCCTGAGGTTTCTACCATTTTTTTCCCCCGTTAAAGGGTTTTTTTGGGGAGTTTTTCCTGATCAGCTGTGAGGGTCATAAGGACAGAGGGATGTCGTATGCTGTAAAGCCCTGTGAGGCAAATTGTGATTTGTGATATTGGGCTTTATAAATAAAATTGACTGGAACTGAATTGAAAGGAATGAGGGACAGACTAATACATTTTTACTTTTGGTCTTTCCATGGGCTTTGTTGCTTTGAAGAAAAAATGAATTATCTTGCAAATGTCTTCAAAGGATCAGATATGTGATATTCTGTTGTGTTACTTAATAAACCACATTCCTAATGCCACCAGTGTTATGTCTGGGTGTCAGAGGGCTGCTGTAAAACTGAGCCTACTTAGGGCAACAAAAACGTTTTAGGTGCGGCGGTACAATTGACAACCAAGACAGGATGGCAAAGATAATATCTGCATACCAATGCAATTGGTCTTGACAGCCACAAAAAAGATTCACAGACTGAGACCAATGCATAAAATATCACTTACTTAAATATCACTACCCTGGTAGGGATTTTCTAAATAAAGTGACATTTTTGCAGTGTATTATTATCACTCTACAGTGATAATACACATTTCACTACATTTTTCACATGAGTTATTGTGGGAAAGGGAAATAAATTGAGTTTGGGAGGTTACTGACCCATTTTCCATTGTTTTTGTGGTAGTCAATTCAAATCAAGGATGATGTGATCATAGGATGATGTGAACAACCTGACATGTCTGACCTAGTGACTGAAGGGAAAGTAGTTCATGAATGAGTACAAACAGGTTGAAGACAAAATACCCACACATGTTGACTTCATTTATTTTCCAACACTTCTTTTGGCATTAGAAATAATTGAATACAAAAACATTTGCCTTATATATAGCCATGTTTAAAATGTCTTTTAAAATAAATCCAATTTAACACTCTGTATTATCACTACATGAGAATGTAACTCCAGCTCATTGACTCTGCTGGTGTTCAGGGGTCCTCTGGACAGTAATGGGGGTAGGATGTGAGCCACTTCACAGGACAGTCCCTGAAAATACATACAGTTCTTATGACACAGACAGACACACACACTGGACTAACCGGGGTATCACCATAACCACTTGTTCATGAGCAAGCATTTGATGCCAAGTTAAAATCTGCTGAATCTGAAATGGAATCGAATGCAAAATTCTTCTTTACCTTCGCCTTTCCTTTTCTACCTATGCTTCTGCTGTAACCTGGAAATAATTTTAGTGCCTTTCTCTTGCATTGGCTGAGGATGCTTGAAGGCACACATATCTGCCCATCAACAGCACTGAATAGAGTAGAGAGCATGTTCAATGAGTGTTTGTTCTGAGGAGGTTTGTACCTGTGATACTTCTGGCCCTTCCTCCTCTGGTACTCTGTTTCATCCACTGTCCACACAGCTCCTTTCCCTCCCTCCACTCGCACAAAGCACTTGTGAAGACTGAGGTTGTGCCGCACTGCATTCTGGTTAGGAACAGGAAAATTGTATTGTCATAGAGGCAAACTTAAATGTGTTTTAACAGTTGTAAACTTCTTTGTTGTTGTTTGGGGTATGTTAAATATTACTATTACATAAACACATTAATAAACCACAAGGCAGCAAGACTATGGCTTTCAACAGTGTAGCAAAATCAAGACCACATTTCCCATAAACCTTGCTTCCTGCTGGGTTAACCATAATGCAGTGTTCAAGTCAAAAAGGAGTTTCTGTGATAAACAGCTTTTGACTTGTATATATCGCTGTCATAATAAGAATTTCATTTAATTTGGCCTCATCTGCACTCAGTATCATTTTTCTCTTGCTATTTGTAATGAATATAGATACAGGTGACTGGCTGTAAGTAGCTATGTAGCAAGGCTACAACTCCATTCTTCATATTGCCTACAAAGTAGGTACAATACAACTAATAATGTATAATATTTATCCCCTGGGAAAAATTCAGTTTTTTCATTCTGCTGTTACTAGCGCAGGGGTGGGCAACCTGCTAGCTCACTGTAGCTTTGACAAAAAGTATATGGAAATGAGTAACGGTTGTTGTGTTTTTATTGTTTGTTTTTTAACATTTTAATTTTCATTCATCAACGTTGTAGGCCTAAAGAAAGTCTACTTTCTCCAATTGTAAAAGTGTAAAGCCTATATACCGAATAAAAAACAACAACTAAAATGTGCATTAAACATCTACTGCCTGGCACCTTTACCTCAGGATTTTGCCGAACCTCAATAGCAGGTAGCCTCAATAGCTTACCAGCTCAACCCCCAGTTGAGCTGGTAAGCTATGGATGCCAAATCCAAGAAAAGTAAAAGTCTTGAAACAAAACAGAGAAATTAGAAGTGCATTGATAGATTTGTTTGCTTTCATTGCCAGCTCTGCAAAGTTAAAGCACCACATAATAATAAATAGTGCCCTGCACAGTAGCCGCCTTGTGTTAAATCATATTAATGAATGCTGATTTAGACTTTTAGTATAGGCTAATTTAGACTTCATAGGCTATGTTTACCTTCATTATAAGTCTTTAATGTGTTTTGCGGCCCCACACAGATTATCATTATTACTAGGGCCCGAGCAATGACAAAGTCGTCTGTGAGAACCCTATTTTAATCGCGCTGTTTATTAGGGTCTGAGCGATGACGAAGTCGTCCGTAGGACCCTGTTGTAATCGCGCTGTTTATTATTAGGGCCCGAGCGACGACGAAGTCGTCCGCATAAGACCCTATTGTAATCACGCTGTTTTTTAGGGCCCAAACAACGACGATGTCATCCGTGAGGACCCTATTGTAATCGCGCTGTTTATTATTATTTATTAGGGCCCTCCCTATTGAAATGCAAGGATTTTTTATTAGGGTCCGAGCAAAGACAAAGTCGTCCGCGGAGGACCCTATTGAAATCGCGCTGTTTATTAGGGTTCGAGCGATGACAAAGTCGTCCAAGGGCCCTATTGAAATCCCGCTTTTTATTATTATTAGGGCCCGAGCACCGACCTCGGTGCGGGGACCCTATTGAAATTGAAGGAATGATTATTATTAGGGCCCGAGCACCTAGTGGTGCGAGGACCCTATTGAAATGCAAGGATTTTTTATTATTATTAGGGCCTGAGTACCGACCAAAGGCAGGCGAAGGCCCTATTGAAACTGTTCCATTTATTATTATTATGAGGGCCTGAGCGACGACGAAGTCGTCCGCGGAGGACCCTATTGTAATCGCGCTGTTTATTATTATTATTTATTAGGGCCCGAGCAACGCGACGACGAAGTCGTCCGTGAGGACCCTATTGTAATTGCGCTGTTTATTATTATTAGGGCCCGAGCACCTAGCGGTGCGAGGACCCTATTGAAATGGAAGGATTTCTTCTTCTTCTTCTTCTTCTTCTTCTTCTTCCTCCAAATGAATTGCCTTTTTGGGAGGCTTAACATACCCGAAAACTCATGAAACTTTGCACACATCTCAGAACTGGTGAAAAATTTGATATTTTAAGGGTCTCGTGCGCGGGTTCCAAAAAATGGCTCAGTAGCGCCCCCTACAAAATTTTGAGGAAACAGCCCCTGAACCTAGTTTAACCTACATGTATGAAACTCAGCAGGTTTCACCATGATGATAAACGTTGCTGTAACTTGACTCCACGTGGGAATATCTTGCCAAAACTTCACACATATGATGACAGTTCAGCCCTGAATACATCTACAGAGGAATT